AAATTTCGAAATTTTCTTATGCATAAAAGTATTTTTAATGTTAAGATGAAAAATTATTTGCAAGATGTGAAAGAAATAAAGGCAGAAGAGAAACATTGCTTTACAAAGCTTAAGACTTAATAAAGAAATTAGATATTTTGCATATGAAAGCATTGTAATGTTTACTGATAAACTGCCAAATTTCGTTAACCTTCGCTAACTAATTTAAAAGTTATAGCATGAAAACTATAACAAGCACAAAATGGTTACGAGGTCGGTCCCAGGGCTGGTGTTGAAAGAGTTAATATGTTAGTGACACTTAACAGTTAAATTATGAAACTGAAATAATACTAAACCATTTTTAGTAAGCACAAATAAACAATAACATTGTAAAGATAATAACCTGCTGTCTTAATATAAAGTAACAAATAATGTATATGTTTGAGATGGCAACTAGTAAAACATTTATTGATTATAAAGATCTTAAAAACTACTAAGCTATTGTCTTATAGAAAATGTACTAGTGTCTGCAAATTTTAAAGAAAGTTAAATAAAAGATAAATTTTGTTTTTGTGGTATTAATCTCTTTTAAGATACATGTATTTCTTAATGAAGAAGTTTGTGAGCAATCCAGTTTATATAGATAGTAAGTAAGTTCTGGAATGTGGAGGAAGTTTGTGAGCAATCCAGTTTATATAGATAGTAAGTAAGTTCTGGAATTTGGAAAGTTTGTGAGCTATTCAGATTATGTAGATAGTGTGTATGTTCTGGAAAGTACTGTGTCTTGCTAAGTAATTTTCTGCCAATGCACTGTGTTGTTGATAATCATATATTGCTTGATTCCCAACTTGCTTCATCTACATAGACTTGTAACATTCAGTACCCCTGATCTCATAAATTTTATTTGGACTGTTATTATATGAACTGCTAATTTGCATAAATATAATTATATATATATATATATATCCAGGACGCAGTAAAGAAGACATTGTTGTTCACAGTGAAAATGTATCTCTATCTCATCGCATGGCCATGGTGGAAATGAAAGAAATCAATGAACGACAGCGAGCTGATCATGCAACTCATTTATATCAGCAACAACAATCAACCTTGCAACGACTTGAAGCAAGAAACAGTGAACTGGAAGAAAAGTTTAATGAGGTAGTTCATCTCAACATGGACATTCAGCAGGAAAAGAAAGAACTTCAAGAACGTTTATCAGGTAGAAACAAAATGTAAAGATAATGTGAAAATATTGTCTTTATACCTGTTAGTAAATGAGAATGGAAGTCAGAAATTAGTAAATTTAGTATGATCTTTCTATCTATTTATATTCATAAATATAATTTGTATAATATAAGAATAATACATGTACAACATACATTGCTTCTAGACTTTTGTAATAAGTTCATTAACTCACTTTCACTAAGACATTTGTTTTAAAAGAACTTTAAGTCTTCGAGGTGGGTGAGATCTTTATCTTAATCCAGAAAATTAATTCATATGAATATGAAGACTGGGATACATCAGCAACATTTCTCTTAAACGAGTTTTCAAGGTTACATAATATGTTATAACAAAGTTTAGAAACCAGTTTGTTTCATGTGATTAGAAATGTGGTTTTTATTTGTGTACTTGTGTAAATCAGAAGCTGCATCTAAGTGATTTTATTGTAAGAGATATTTTTCTTTTTGAAATGTGTGACTTGAAATTGCTAATCTCATGGAACACTCCATGATATATCTACTGCTATAAAGATGCAGTTCATTAGTTGCTCAACTTTACTATTTCACTTTATAATTCTCAGAGACAAATTGTTTGACATTAGATAGTGATAACACAATGTTTCTAAACACCTGGAAAGTAAAGTAGATTTAAAAGATCTTTGATTTTCCTTTAAAAATATGTCCTTCAAGAGAATATATGTGAAGAAAGAGGAAAGTTACACATTCATCAAAGCTATTGTGGCTCCAACATCATTATAAAAGTATTTTATTTACTTAACATCATACAAGTACCAAAATTTCTGAGCCATTTATACACAGTTGATTAAATACATTTCCGAGATGTGCAGTTTTTGATTCAAAATTAGAAATTAATGAAAATGGTTATTGTAGGGCAAAAGTTATTAGAGCAAATTAATTGTGCTGTGTTTGAATATTGGTTAAAGGTGATAATTCTTGTATTCACTTACTTGTGGAAGCTTAAGTCAAAGTATAAGATCATAGCAACTTTTTTTTTGCATTATGAAACTCCAAAGTATTTTCATCACCATAAAATTGGATTAATGTTGATAAAATCTTCTGATGGCTTATAATACTAAAAAAATGTTTTTTTAACCTGTTTTTGACACAACACAGACTGTTGTTCTTTGTTTAATAACAAAACAAAGTTTTGTTAATCAGAAAACAAGAATGGGTATTTTTTGTTTTAATTAAGATCACTTATTATTACTTTGTTATGCCATTCAAATGCTTTCTTTTATCCTCAACTCAGTTTTTTTTCCTTAATAGGTGTTACATGTTGGCTTTAGGCCTACATCAAACACAACTGAATGAGTTATGTCTGATGTAGGTGTAAGGCCAAAATGTAACACAAAGTAAAAAAAAAAAAAAATTGAGGATTAAAGAAAGCATTTGTATGACATAATTTATTTTATCACAAAGTAATAATGCCTTTAAACATCATCAGAAGAGTACTATCTACTTTAAGTGCTATCACATAGCCTAAGAAGTTTCTAATAACTTTTTAAAAATTATGCTGACTTCAGCTTTTCATTCTTTCTTTGGTGTTAATTTAAAGTTTTGTATTTCTATTTCATTATTCCTAAAGGACATGTTTGAAAACCTTGACTATATACTAGTCAGTTAATAGTTTAAGAATAGCTAACATATTTGTAATGTATATTTAAGTTCTTTGATAATTTAAACTTGCCAATGGTGTGCATGGAATAATATTCTGTATGTTCTACAGACTTGATGAAGATTATAACATAAAGATCAAAATTTTGTTTAACTAAAACTCCAGGTAGGAAAAGTCAATAAAATGTTCAAAACATATGATGATTACTTTGCCTATGATGTGTGCTTTTTGGCTGTTACTACAAAAATCAAGATTTATGAGTTCATACTGATGGTACTTCAATTTTAATTTTTTTGTTATAAAATGTACTTTTTCATTATATTAGTTTGTGTCTCCAAAGAAGTTCATGAAGCAGATGAAAAACGTATTAATGAGTTAGAAGAACTGGAAATAACATTACGTCAGGATGTATCATGGCTGAAAGAAATAGCAGATGTTGCACAACACCAGGTAGAAGCTCTGGAATCAACAAGAACAAACCAAGCACAAAAAATCCAAGAGCTGCAGCACCATTTGATTGACCTGCAGGCTCAAAATGATGAACAGTTTAAATTAGGTAGGTACTTTAATAATGTAGGCATTGCCCTACTTAAAATAAACATCTAAAATTATTATTAAGGGTGAGAGTACCCAAACTATAAAGTCAGTGCATTCTAACCATTGTAGATTTTAGTTTTCTAATATATGGATTTATGAAATAAAGTATTTCAATACAGTTTATTACATAAAATTAGCTGATTTAATGTATAACCTTTTTCTTGCAAACATGACAAAAATATTTATTCCAAATTAGATATTCTCACAAGCTACACAGTTTGATAATTTTACAGAGAAAAAAATGTTCTTTTAATTTGACTTCTTTCTTATGAATAAACAGTGTAAAAACTTATTGTTCTTTGTAACAAAAATCTGCAAAAACACTATGTGTAAGATGATCTAAAATATTGTGCTTTTATTTCTGAATGGAATTTAATTTAATAATTTAGCAGATTATTACCAAAAACTGTAAAGTCCCAATCCTAGTGTACAATCCGCAGATAGAATTTCCAGGATAACAGATCAGTAAAAATATCTTATTCTGATACAATACCTTACCTCTTCTCACAAACAGACCTGAAGAAAGGGGTGGGGATAAAATTCCCAGGGCTCGGGCTTCTGGGGGGCCCAGACCATGAAAAATATACAAGATAACTTTGATATAACTAAAGTCTAAAACTTGGTAGTGCTATTTTTGTTATATTTATCTAGCTTTATTCATTTTATAATTTTTTGTTATGATTTATAATATAGAGAAATATCTATGTGGGATAGCCTTGATGGGCCCAAGTGGCTCTTTGCTATCCTAATACATACTTATGTTCTTATGACTATTTCCATCAGCTAACTCCATGCATCTTCCTTATCTAGGGTTACATGTTGTAGTTACTGGTGCTGCTATCTGTTGAGACAATTTTATTTTGAATTTATATTAATTTTATTTTAATATTATTTTATATTTTTTCAGACAACTCTTGTTTGCATTGGTTGAATTCTTCATTGTTTTAAATATTAGCATTATGGAGTACAAATATAAATCTGCAGCGCAGAAGAGAAAAGAAAAGCGAAAAAAAAAAGAATGAAAAAGCAAAAATAGGTCAGACAAGTTTTTTCAGCCTGGGCTTTGTTTCATCATCAGCAAGTGGTGATGAGGGAGATAGCAAAACCTAGTCATCTGATTCTCAAGCATTATTAAAAGAAGAAGCTGATGAGTCTTCTGTTGAAGTAGAAGAGCAGAGATACTGATGGTAAAGATAGATAAGTTTGATTATTGAACACTTCGTTCTTCAATTTTTAATTATATCCATGAAAGGCTAAATTAAATACAAGTATATATTTACAAGTTTTTTTACTTCCTTTTTTTGAAATAAATTGTTTTTCAAGTTAATATTAGTGTACTTATCCATTTTTTCAGATGAAGTACAAAAAGTTGCTGTTGGAAATGATGATGCAGACAAGCCTTCAGCCAGTAGTCCCAGTATGTGCACAACTGAAACTAGTGACGTGGACTTTCAGCACCTGCATTTCAATATATTTGATGTTGAAACTTTAAAGACTTTAAATTGTAGGGCTCAGGAAATATAAGAAGCAGTGAAATGTGGTCCATTTAAGCACCCAGAACAGTTTCCAGCAGATGACACTTCATGTTCATTTCCTACGTCTCTGCTTCAGTACAAACTTCTAAACAATGAATCTGTGCCACGTGATTGGATAGTTTGGAGTGAAAGCCAACAGGCATTATTTTGTTTTCCTTGCCGGCTATTTTCTTCTCAGCCTGAATAATTTTTTTTTCTAAATCATGATACTTGTGCCAGTTGAAATGGAGAAAATTGTACGACAGAATCCCAGAACATCAGTCTAGCAATATTCACAAAGAGTGTTAATTCAAATGGCGGACCTTAGAAATTCAACTAGGACGCAGTGGTACTATCTTTCACACGCTGGAGAAACAGATTCAAAATGAAGCCTATTTATGGAAACAAATACTACGACAGTTGCTTTATGTGACATTATTTCTTAATGAAAGATGCTTGGCATTCAGAGGTGATTCTCAGAAAATCAGAGAGCCAAATAATGGAAATTTGTTGTAGTCCTAGAGCTTTTGAGTCACTATGACCCAGTTCTTGAAAAACATATTGGCAAGGTTACAGAATCTCAAAAAGCTGGTAAATGCTTACAAGTGAATTATTGGTCCAGTGACATGCAGAATGAATTTATTTCTTGCTGTGCCTATCATGTTAGAAATGCTATCTTGGAACAGATAGAAAATGGAAAGTATTATCCTTTTATTATTGATGCAACTCCAAATTCAATTCATGTCGAACAAACAACATTTATCATTTGTTATGTTAATTTCAGTGAAGGAAAATGCAAATATGAAATACAAGAACGATTTTAGGAATTTACTGACTGCAACCAAAAAACATAAGTTGCAATTGCAACCTTGATTCGCTCGACACTTAAGAAACACTTAATTCCTATTAATGAATGTCATGCCCAAGGTTACGACAATGGAAGTAACATGAGTGAGGTGGTTAATGGTGCACAAGCACTTTTTCTTAAGTGGAATCCTTTAGAAAAGTTTTCTCCATGTGCTTGTCACAGTCTTAACTTGTGTGGAGTGCATTGCAGCTGAGTGTTGCCCTGAAGCAACAAGATTTTTTGGGATAACACAGCAACTGTATAATCTCTTTAGCTCTAGTCCCCAGTGATGGAAAATTCTGAAGGAGTGTGTTGGAATTTCTCTGCGTTCAATGTCTGATACTCGTTGGAGTGTACAGGTGGATTCTGTATGACCAATTGCAGCTCATTTAGCTAAGATAGTCATTGCTGTGGAGCTAAGTTTGTCTGTAGAGACATTTTCTCTACTACGGAGTGTTTTGGAATATATCACATCATTCAAGTGCATTATCATGGCATCATTCTGGTTAAAATTGTTGGTACCAATTGACTACAGATGCAAACTGCTACAAGCTCGAAATATTATCATTGATTTTTGAAGTCAAGAACATTGAAAGCTTGTTAGTTGAATTAAGCTTTATTCGAGAAAACTGGATTACCATTCTTTCTGAAGCTAAAGTTGTTGTCAATGCAATGAATATTGAGCCAAAATTTCCAGAAATATGCACTAAGAAGAGAAAAGTGTTTTATGATGAAACCCCAAATGAAGCAACAATTAGAAATCCAGAAGACCTATTTAAGACAAATGAATTTATATGTAATTCTCAACAACCTAATATCCAGCCTTAAAAATTGTTATGAAGTTGTGAAGTTTTTAGATGAGAAATTTGGGTTTATATGGAAATACAGAAAAATAACTGAAAACCAGATTGAAGAAAGATGTAAATCATTCATTGAAGAGTACCATGCTGATGTCACAGCAGATTTGTATGAAGAAGTGAAATATTTGAAATTAATTCATTTGGCAAATTTCTGAGACATTACTTTGGAACCATTGGACTTCTTAAATAAGATTCACGAACTTAAAATTTTAAGCTTATTTCCAAGTTGTTATGTAGTTTTGCATATCTTTTGCATTCTTCCAGTGACTATAGGTGAAGCAGAGAAATCATTCAGCACTCTGGCCCATATTAAAAGCTGCCTCAGGTCAACTATGTATGAAGAGTGCCTCACAGATTTGGGAACATTGGTCATTGAATCAAAACTTGCAAGAGACCTAAATTTTGATGATTTAATTGAAACATTTGTTAACAGAAAAGCCCACAAAGCAGTGTTAAATGAATTGTAGACTTATGGAAAACTTCACAACTAAACCTGTTAGGTGTTGTGTTTTTATTGAAACATATTAGCAATAATAAAGAATGTTAAGTTTTGTTTTTTAATGTTTTTAGTGTTTTAATGTTTAATAAGATCTATTAGAAACAAAGAATGATAAGAAATATATATTTTATATATATATTAGAAAAATAATAAAAATAAAGAACTATTTCGTTCTAATAAATGTTTTTCAGTTATTAACACTCTTTCTCTTGTTTAAAAAGGTAGTAAAGTGTGTTTGGTGAGGAGATCTATTAAAAAATGGGAACCTGATCAAGTATCTTGCTCTGGGCCCAGTGCCAGTTCTCAGGAGCACTCCTCACTAAATAGATGTTCTGATTAGTGCTGTCCTCTATCGGCTCAAATTTCCAACACTCACCACTAGCCTTCCACCTTCTACTTTCACGTGTAAAGGATTATGCAGCAGCTCTCCACCAATAGGGGCACAACACAACCCCTGTTGTAACCAGTGTCCTCTTAACATTTATACTCATTAATCACTTCTGGATTGGCAGTAGTACTGTACAGACATGTTTGTTTTTGCTCACAAATTTGTTGACATTTTCTTTTATGCTACAAACTTAGTTTTCTTTAATTTTTTCACATTTTTGAATTGTGAAAGGTTGCTTTTTTCCAAATTTTATTACTTTTTCTTTTTGTTTTTGGCTTTTCCTATAGCTCCCAATACATTAAACATGGCATCTATCCACTAGTGGATTCTCTTACAGTATTGCTTTTTTGCTACTATGACAGAAATGGTTTCATCTCCCATATAGTGGCCATGGTATGGATGTTCAACATATGTATAATGTCTCACTATATGGTGAGACAATCCATTGACATTTATGTGTTGTGGGCATGGGTGATACTTTATGACTAAACCATATTCCTACAAGACTATTATCCAGTGTGCTAACATCCGTCCAGGATTTCAGCATTTCATGGTCCAATCACACCGTGATCTTTCTACTATACGAGCAGGGTTAATGGTGTTTCCTGAAGACTACAACTGCAAACATTTTTCTTCATCATGGTTCTGTTTCTGTCATGGATATGTTAAAACTGGGGTTTCTAAAAACATGCTTCGTGGACTTGGATGCTTGTGCACATTACTCATTCTGTCTTGAGTGTATCTCAACTTTAGTGAGAACCTATAATAGAAAAGTTGGCCATAGACCATCAATAGTATGAAACAAAACCTAGGAACCTGTGGACTCCTTGTTCAGACACAGGTTTATTTCTCACACTACTATGCAGCACCCTAGGTGTATGATCCATTAGCCTCAAAAGTAGCAGGTGTGTTACACAGACTGAATAGAATGATGCAAACCTCTTACAAGCTATCTCTTATGCTGAAAGTAATTTTAGGTCTGCTCTCATCATCTAGCTCAATTTTCCAGAATCTAGATCCTAGGTTTAACATATTGAATTATCAGGCCCCTTCCAATGCATCCAAACATTCATTTGTTCTTGGTAATAGCAATGTATTAACTTGTGTTATCAGGTTCATCCATTTAAAATCAATGTAGACTTGGGCATACTTTCCTTCTTTCTTACAATCTCTACTGTCAAGACCAAGTATTCCCTAAAGGCAGTATGATCCTGTCCTATAACATCCACTGTACCTCAGCATTGGGTATATACCTATGCTCCAGAGAAGCCTGTGCAGTAGTTATTAAAGGGAACGTATGTCACCTATATCTACTTGATGCTGTGTGACTGTTTTTGAACTCATTTGGCCATCTGACCCCACAGATGCATAGGCATTCAGCCAAAAAGTCATTGAGTTGCTTCTGCTATGTTGAGTATAGCCTGTCTGAACAGTCCTCATCTAGCAATCTCAGATGTCTTGATAACCATATATTTGCTTTTGGGTGTGGTGCAACAGATGTAACCCTAGTGTTATTTTTTTTCTCATTTACTTCCACTTTGCTTATCATACAGATGATTATTTTGGTATGAATCTGGATAACCTGTCATCCATAATTGCAGAGTAATACTGGAATTTTGTCCTTCCTTGTACAAATAACTACCCAAACTAATGCTTCCTGCTTTCTGGAGAGAAAAATGCTTATTTCATGTAGTGCATAGTAAACACATAGTACCACATGCGTATGGGGGTTATGTGACTTTCTCTCCCACATATAATCATGCAGCCCCTGTTCCTTAGTCTGGTCTGGCTATCGTCAGATAACCTTTCTTTGGAACATCAGTTTGCCAGTTACACAGGTGAAACTGACCTGTGAGCTCTGCAGTGCATCCATCCAGGGATGCCAATGCCAGAACCGAGGTCAGTGATGACTAGCTTCATTCTGTGAGCAATGCCTCCTAGACATAGTCAGGGGGTCAGGTCACCATTCATATCTAGTTTATCTCTAAACTTCCTGAACAAAGTTTGTTTTGACTGTTTAGAATTATGGTTTTGCTTGGAGCACCTGATATTCCATAAGATCTACCAGTGTTCTGACCACACCTGTAACAACTTCATTGAGATAGTAGTCATGGATATTCATAGTCTAGGAGAGGACTTCATCTAGACTCAACCTCCCTGTCATACAGTCTTCCTTTAGTAACTGATTCTTCCTCATGGTTGTAAGTTCTCTGAGTTGTGGAAACTGTCATTTCCAATAATACAAACACTTTTTAAACTTTAATAGCACAAGAGTATAATTAAAGGTCAATACATACACCAGCTGAAAACTCGTTAATAAGATATCCTGTGGTCATGGTACAAAAACCTTTTCTCCTTCCTTTCCACTCTGTGGTATATTCAGCTAAAACTGATTATTTCTGTAGCAGCATGATATGTCTGTTGAATAACAGAAAATCTGACAAGTTAGCTGTTAGAGTAATACTGAGTATCTCTAAATATCCAAGTTCATTAGAACAAAATAGAGATTGGACAGAATGTTGATTACAAAAAAGTGCAATCTTTATTATAACAGAACATAAAAGTACAGTGTAAGTACTTGCTTAGGTGATGGGCTGTCACTTCTACTGGATAGGAACAATTCTCTCTCAGAAACTGTTTAAATTTAACATTCCTTACTTCACAGGTAACACAGATTTGTCTAGAATAACTAGTGCTACCCATGTGACTAGTAATTCTCATTCAAACATAGAGAAGGCCATAACCTCAAAATATCACCTGACTTATCATTGACAGACACTGCTATCTATGTTTTTACATAATATGCATCATTACAACCATGCATTCCAAGAGCTGAATTGGTGTGATCTCAGTAGAATAACAAAGGAACAAAGGCAGTGAGAACAAAATCAACTAAATGACTTTCTTGACCACGTGTTATGTGAAAACTACACACATCATGGTTTGTTTATATACCACATATTTATACTAACATTTGTTTATTCCAAGATGGTTGTGTATTTCATGGGTCCAGTACTGTGTATTATTTTCTTTTATAAGTACAAACCTGAACGATTAGTTGTATTTGCTAATAGATGGTTCCACTTTTCAGTTACATTTGATTAATCTATTAGTACAGTGTTCCTCTAACCATAGTGCATACAAGCAAGCAAAAAGTTGGTGATGGACTTTTCTTTAGGCAGCAGTTCAAAATTAGTGACAATGGCACATTACCTTAGTATCTTTGCCATAACTAAGACAAGGGAAGTTTGATGGCAATAGGAATCAAACCCAAGTCCCCCTCTCCTCTCCTGAAATTAATAATAATCAAAAACATTTAATGTTGATTCATTGATTATTCTCATGACAATTGATTTAATTATAATGTTGATTAATTGAAAACAGTAGTAATTGGAATTAGTAATTTTGATTAGTTGATTATTTCTGTGAAAGTTGATTTAATCATAATTGTGACCAATCAGTTGTTGGAATAACCAAAAATACTAATTTAGAATAATTCATTTAATTTTAATTTCAATTAATCATTTTATATTCTGCTTGTCAGTAGAATCACTGCTCATGAGTAATTGATTATGTAGATTAATTGATTAAATCTCTCAGTTCTTTTGGTGCTTTATACTATAGTTTTGTTTTATTTATCATTATTTTTATTTCTTTTGATTTAGGTTTGATGTATAGTTTTTATTTTCATTCAGTGATTGAATTTTAACCAGATTTTATATCAAATTTTCTTTTTCTTCTTTTTTTGGTACCACATAATCAGTAGATTAGTATCCATCGTACTTTTATATGCTTTTCTTTTGTTATATCTTTCCAGCTTTTACATACTTCTCATTATTATGGTGGTTTCTTGTATGTATGTATATTTATTTAATAAAGAGCTTATTTAATTTAATATTATCTTTTTTGTAAAGAATTTTTTATTTAGTATTCATGTAAAGCATTTTATAATATCTTTATTTTGTGGTTTGTATGGGTATGTGTTTAAGTATTGGTTTATGTGATAATAAGGGCATTTGAGGTATTTGTGAGTCTCGAATATGCATCGTTCATTTAGTGCTTTACTATGTTGTGTGTCGCTTACCATTTTGTGATATTTGTATCCAGTGTGAGTGAGGGTTGTGATTTTTGTGTGATTTTAGCTGATCTGTTTTCTACATTTTAAATTTATATTAAATTTAAAGTCTGCTTGAGAATACTACTAAAATAGAGAAGAAGGGATTGTGGTATGCAATCCCACATTTCACTCTCCCTTATTATTATTTTATATTATTTGCAATTTGAACATACTAAATCAGGTCATGTTCTAATTTCAGCCCCAATTTGTACTTTCTGTAACAGGATACAATCACAAAACTATCTTCTGTTTCATGGAATAATTATATTGTGTCCTTTCTAATCTTGTTTGTGAAGGATTTCTCTGTGACTGTAACATGGAGGAGAGATACTTCCAGATTCTTTTGATATGATTTTCTGACTGGTCAGCTGTAGAGAGATGAACTGTAAATGCAGTTTTGACATTTTTAAACATGTTCTGGTTTTCAAAGGACCAAAATTATATGTCATTGTCTCATTTGTGTTCCAGTGTGTTTCTCCCAGTACCTGCTGAATGTATGTTTTATTTTCAGCTATCTTTAAATAAGTTAGTCTTCACTTCTTTGTTTTATCAATTATGGTTTCTTTCATTTGATTTTTAAATAATGTTGTTTTGTGCATACAAGAGGTTCAAAGATTTGGTTGGATGGATTGTTAACATGTGAACAATGTAATAAATAAACAAGTCTGACAAACACAATGAAGTTATGCTATTGTACATTGTATAATTACTTCACACATCTTCCAGGATGAAAAAAGAAATATAAACTATTAACTCTTTCAGTATGGGCTCGGTCCCTGGGATTTCATGGTTGTTATAGTTTTCATGCTATAACTTTTTAATTAGTAAGCAAAAGTTAATGAAATTTGGCAGATTATCAGTAAACATTACAATGCTTTCATATGCAAAATATAATTTTTTTTTACTTCTAACACTAGTATGTTGTCTATTTTTCATTTTAGGGAAACTTTATCGTCAGATTCTGACTCTCCAACTCAGTGAAGGGTCTTTAAATCAAGAGGCAGAAAAAATGAAACAAGAGATTTCTAAGCTAGAATCGAAGTGTTTGAAACTTGAACAAAGGTAAAAAATCTTCCTCTTATTTCTAAACTGATTTTCACTTTTAAATGTACTTGAATATAATAATTTAATTTTCTTCACAATCAAGATAATCTAGTGAAATTATAGAGCTTACTGGTTAAAATAAAGAGGATAAAAGTTTAAAATTTTATTATTTTTTCTTTACATCTAAATAAGGAATTAAACCAAAAAAGTTACGTTGTTCAGACGGTTTCACTACTCCTTAGATATTTAAACAAATGGATGTGTCAAACATATGATTTATAATATACATGATTTAAATTATTTATAGTATACAAGTAAGTCAGAAATAAAACAAAACATTGAAAACTGAATCTAATAAGGTATGAATTTTTGCTGTACATATATTTTTGGAGAATGTGAATACAGCTACTTCATTAAAAGTTTGGTGTGGCTGATGTAGATACTTTTGCCCATTTTTTATGCTGATACAATTCATTTTATTTTAATTTGCAAGCTTTCAAAATTTTTATTTAAAGTGTTTATACACTATCCTGACCAAAGGTATTGAGGCATGTAGTCATAGAGGGTAGGGGACTCTCAGTAGTCACTGAAGTAGTACTATACAGCACCACCTTTGGCTAGAAAAAGCTGCTGCTGTTCTGCAAAACATGCTTTTAAATAGTTACAACATATGTATGTTATAGTTTGTGTCTTTCATTATCTTAAAAGCTTGATCAGTCTGTAGGGTTTAACGACATTCAATAAGTTAATATTTGGGTTCAGGGTGAATCATTACAAGAATTTGATATTGTCACTAGAAACCAGACATGAGTCATACCTGTCATACAGCACATATAACCCATGTATGAGATCTAGTGACAATACTATTTTCTAAGAACAATACATTCACTCAGAGCAAGTTGCACATCCCTCACAGGTAATGCCTGTTCACATGTGCCCACAGAGTTAATGTGAATTTGTTGCAGAAGCAATTTCAGCATCCTCAGTCCTTTGTCATGCTTAAACAGCACATGTGGCTGATCTAAATATTTTGTTTTAGATATTGTACTATCATAGTCTCAATACCATTTAATGGTTTCAGGTACAGTAGATTCCCATGACCAAGAACTGAGTATTTCATACTTTTTCAAATAGTTTAGGTAATCCAAATTGTTAAAAAGTGCCTTTCTAGGAGGTGAACCTTTTAGTTCAGCTGGAAGAGCAATTGCCTGTAATAGTAGATGTCTCATGTTTTATACCAAGTCAAGGAAATTACCATTGGTGAATATATTAGCCATCTTGAATTGCTTGCATAATGTCAAAAAGTTTGTTTTTACAATTACACCCACAAAGTTCCTATGCAGGATGTGCCATATCTCATTTTTAAAGGATTTCAAATAGTTTTAGTAAGATAGTGTATTAACAATTATACCCACTCATCCTTGTGTGCACAAAAGATTTTTTTCCTTTTTTTGTAATAACTGCTACCTACATTTCTTTATAGATGTCAGGAAAAAGAAGAGATTATATATCAAGTTCGTCATCAAACCCAGAGTAGAGTATGTTTTCTGTCTAAAATAATCCAAGAAATGAGGCGACAGTATAGTGGAGCTGTTCCATTGGCTAAGCAAGAAAAACTTGCTTTTGATTTGGTTCAGTTACGGTCTGAAAAACTTGAGCTAGAGAAAGATTTACAATTTGCTCAAGAGAAACTTAATTCAGCAGAAGGCAAAGCAGCTAAACTGGAAGTCAGAACCAAAGGTATGGAGGAGGTGTTGCAAACGTTCAAAAATGAAACAGCAGCACAAAAGTTATTAGAATGGTATAAGAAATTAGAAGATCTGCGAATAAGTGAACTTCAGTCTCGGCGAAAGAGTGAATTTGCTTCTCAACAAGCCAGTCGTTTGGAAAATGTTGTTAGTCACTTAGAAAACAAAGTTTCAAGTCTAGAAGAATTAAATGTTAAACTAGAAAAAAATATTACAGACAACCAACTGGAGTGGGAGAAAAGAGAACTTGAACTGGTAGAACAAGTAGAAAGGCTTCAGAAAAAAATAGATGAAATGTCAGCAATCTCTTTTGTGAGTATAAATAATCTGAAAATTAAAATAATAAATCTAAGTTCTGTGAGAATGTAAATGCACACTTCTAATATAACGTGCTATTGAAACTTGATGCCATGTCATTTTGTTGCTATACATTGTAGAACAGTTGAAATTTATTTCTGATATAAATTGTAATTAATGTCAGTGTGAGTGTTTTAAGACATTGCAAGTTTGGTAATAACTGTATTGAACAAATTAGCTTAAACTTTATATTTTGATTGTGAGATATGTAAATTTTTAAACACCTAGCTTTCTCCTGCCCAGCATCGTAAGTTCAAATTTCTACACTGCTATATTTACTTGCTTCAAGTTTGATAATAACCGTATTGAACAAATTAGCCTAAACTTTATATTTTGTTTGTGAGATGTGTAAATTTGCAAACACCTATCTTTCTCCTGCCCAGCATTGTAAGTTCAAATTTTTATACTGCTGTATTCATTTGCTTCAAGTTTAACAAACTTGTATCCTATAAAAGTTATCCAAAATTTATAAGTTCAATATTAAGAAAGCATTGCACCATTTTGATTGACTTATTTAAAAATATATTCAATAAAATTGCAGCTACTGCATCAATGTATTCATAGATACTGCTGAAAGATCAGTTTTATTTGGTTTTATACATCTATTATCAAGTCACACCATTTTGAGTCTGGTTGAGTTAAACAGTGTTGTATTTGTGGTTGAGAGGAATAATGATACACAGATAATCTACCTCCACATGACAAGAGTTTCAAAGATTTGGTTGGATGGATTGTTAACATGTGAACAATGTAATAAATAAACAAGTCTGACAAACACAATGAAGTTATGCTATTGTACATTGTATAATTACTTCACACATCTTCCACGATGAAAAAAGAAATATAAACTATTAACTCTTTCAGTATGGGCTCGGTCCCTGGGATTACATGGTTGTTATACTTTTCATGCTATAACTTTTTAATTAGTAAGCGAAAGTTAATGAAATTTGGCAGATTATCAGTAAACATTACAATGCTTTCATATGCAAAATATCAATTTTTTTATTAAGTCATAAGGTTTGTAAATTAATGTCTTTCTAATGCCTTTTTTCTTTTCTCATGTTGTCTATCTATCATGCAAAGTAATTTACATTTTAGG